CGTTGGTGTTGTTCTCAATGTTCTTGTCATTTCAGTGGTATATTGTTTGTAACACAATTTCATATCACTACTATAACCGTAATATACTATCATAGCAGATTAATGTACTATATTGAAATTATTAATATACTATGTGGTTGAATAATACGGGATCCATAGTCGATTAACGAGATCCATAGTCGAATTAGATCAATAAGATAGTCTATTACATGATATAAGGAAAATTACCCTAATTGAGTAGTATTTCAAACAAACATATTATTCAGTTTCCATATATATTATTATTTTTTCATATATATTATTATTTACCCTAATCGTTTTCATATAATAAGGAAAATTACCCTAATTGATTAGTATTTCAAACAAACATATTATTCAGTTTCCATATATATTATTATTTTTCCAATAGGCAATTAACTAAACCCATAGTCGAATTAGATACATGGGATAGTCTATTAAAAGATATGAGATAGTCTATTAATTTTAAAACACAAATCCGCCGCCGTCACTTCTAAAATCTAGGGTTTTGATGATTCTTCGGCCCATAGTCGATTAACGAGATCCATAGTAAAATTATACCATTGGGATAGTCTATTAAATTATATGGGATAGTATATTAATACATATGTAATTCGACTATGCATCTCGTTAATCAACTATGGGCCGAAGAATTATCAAAACCCTAGATTTGAGTAATCCTAGATTTGAGTAACCCTAGATTGGAGCAGCGACGGCGACGGCGACGGCGGCCAACGACGATATCACTTCTGGTGGATGTCCTGCCCATGAATTGTTGCAATATCACTGATTTAGTGCTCGAATTCGGTATGCGATTATAACAGATCTGCAATTACACAAACGTGATAGTCGATTTAGCCAAAACATATCAACAAATCGATGGATGATAGCGATTCAGCGAGTGGCGACGACGTACCTACGGAGGCTTGGTCGGAGTGCAGAAAAATCGCCGATCCACGGCCGTGCAAATGTATGGTTTTGGGAGGTTTTGCAGTTTTTTTGATAGTGGGTTTGTGGTAATAGTGTTTTAACGGGAAAATAGGGAGAGCTTTGATATTATTTTAAAAGGTAATGTAACGGGATTTGTGGGATTTGATCGAGGGTAATTATGTGATTTAGAAAAGTTTGGGTTTTTATCAAAATGACAAATTTAAGTTTGGGTCTACCCCTATTATTTGAATGTTTAAGGGGGTTATATCTAATAGACCCATTATTTAAACACAATTTATCCACTAACTCACTATAAATTAATTAATTTATCCTACTAATTATTCTACTAATCAAACATTCCTTCCTAAATCCACCACAAGTTCAAATCTTATATATAAAAGAAAGAAACGCTAGGGCAACCCTAATGTCATATTTGTAATTTTTTTTATTATTTTCAATTTTTATCAAATTTGTATCTCCTTAATATAATATTATTTTTGAATTTTAACATATTTGTATCTCCCAAATATTATTTTAAAAAATTACTTTTTATTTTTATCAGATTTTTATCCCCTAAATATTATTTTTGATTTTTATCAAATTTTTATCTCCTAAATATTATTATAAATAATATTTTTGGATTTTATCAAATTTATATCTCCTAAATATAATTTTAAATATTATTTTCAACTCTTAGCAGATTTTTATCTCATATATATTATTTTCGAATTTTATCAAATTTATATCTCCTAAATAATATTTTAAATATTGTTTTCGATTTTTATCATATTTTTATTAGTTTTTTATCTCCTAAATATTATTTTCGATTTTTATCAGATTTTTGTCTCCTAAATATTATTTTCGATTTTTTATTCCCTAAATATTTTTTAAAATATTATTTTCCATTTTTATCAAATTTTTATCTCCTAAATTATTTTAAATAATATTTTTGATTTTTATCATATTTTATCTCCTAAATATTATTCTAATTATTATTTTCGCATTTTATCAACTTTATCTCATTAACATTATTTTAAATATTATTTTCGATTTTTATCAAATTTTTATCTCCTAAATATTATTTTAAATTTTGTTTTTTGATTTTTATCATATTTTTATCTCCTAAATATTATTTTTGATTATTTATCAAAATTTTATCGTCTAAGTATTATTTTAAATATTATTATCGATTTTCCTCGAATTTTTATCTCTTAGATATTATTATCGATTTTTATCAGATTTTTATCTCCTAAATATTATTTTTGATTTTTATTTTTGGCCATAAATATTTCTAATGCATAACGAGTTAAATCTCCTAAATATTATTTTATCTCCTAATTTTCAGCCATAAACAATCTCTTTAATATTATTTTAAATATTATTTTCGATTTTTATCAAATTTTTATCTCCTGAATATTATTTTAAATTTTATTTTTTATTTTTATCATATTTTTATCTCCTAAATATTATTTTTGATTATTTATCAAATTTTTATCGCCTAAATATTATTATCGATTTTCATCGAATTTTTATCTCTTAGATAGTATTTTCGATTTTTATCTCCTAAATATTATTTTTGATTTTTATTTTTGGCCATAAGTATCTCTAATGCACAACCAGTTAAATCTCCTAAATATTATTTTATTTCCTAATTTTCAGCCATAAACATCTCAACACTAAATATTATTGTTTGATGATAAAATACTAATTATCATATTCCGAAAGATGGAAGAGTCCGAAAGACTTCCATTAAGATTCTCAACACTTTCAACTTTCTTTTCCACTTCAACACGTTTGTGTCTTCTCTTTTTATTTATATCCCACCCTCAACTTCTTCACCCAGCTTTATCTCTCCCGTTTCTACCAAATGTTTGTGACTCCATAAAAGGTTAGCTATTTTGCAATTTGATTTCTCTTCATAGTTCATAATAAATTAAATCTGATTTTCAATTTTACAGAAAATCGTAAATAAATATGATTTTCATCCCTACCGGATTTTGTGACATCGTTTTATAGAATGTCTGCAACATTTGAATTTTATTTCTTCCCTACCCAAGGCTTCTTCTTTTGGTAACCTGACTTTAGATTTTTTTGTCTTATTTTCTTCTTCATCCTATTGATTGTGTGGTAATTAGTTTGCATCTTTTTCCATCATGGCTTATAGGTAATTTCATTTTGTTAAATTATGTGTTTCATTAATTTATACTAAAGATTTCAAATTTTATGTATAACAATTATTTCATTTTAGATGTTATTGGACATGTTATTGAAAGGGATGATTTGAGAGAATTAACCGGAAATGGGCGGAGCCATATGCTATTAGAAGTCGGCCTTCAAGACTTATTGTTTGTATGCTAAATTTAATTTATTGTTTATATTTATTTTGTTTCTTAATTTTCTAATTGTTAATTCGAGTGGCAAAACATGACCAAAACGAGGCAGTGGAGAAGGGCTTAGTTCCGATGCAAGATGTATAGATGGCCTTTTACGATGGTATGTTGTCGATAGTTTAGTTTTGATTATGTTAACTAAGTTATCAAATCTAATTACTTTGAAGCTCAACATGAAATACATAGTTGATGATTTTGTTCCTGGTTCAAATTTTCAATCTACTGGTATTAGCTGATTAAATTCATTTGGAAAATTATTCAACAGTAAAGTTATTTGTTTTTTTTTTTTTTTTTTTTTTTTGTTTTTTTGTAGTATACTTAGTAATGTTCCACTGATGAATTATTAATGAATAATTATAATATAATTTTGATCATACGATAAAACAAACGTTTATTTATACTTTTACAATATCAAAACAATGCAATTTGTTGTCCCGTGCATCGCACGGGTACAATTACTAGTTTAACCTAAAAGTAACAAGTAAAATCAACAATAAAAAATTGAATTTCATAAAAAAATATATATATTTTAACAATACAAGAAATAATTTATCTCCAAATAATTAATAAGTTACTAGATAAAAATACCATTAATCCACCATTAATAAAAATTTAACAAAATTATATTAATAATTAAAATCCTATTTAACTATAATAATTGAAAAAGTGAAAAAAATTACCTCAATAAGTACCCTGCTGAAATGAATTAAAATTACCTACATTAATTAAAATATAAATTAGAAACTACAAATAAACAATAATTAACAAAAAAAAGAAGAGAGAAAAAAACACTTACGGCTTGTTGGGAAGAAGGGAGCAGAGGGAGAAAGGGGAGCAAATGAGGTGAAGGGCATGTATTTTTTCGGATTAAATATATATATATATATATATATATATATATATATATATTCGCCGAAATCACGGCCGTTGGATCGAGAAGGATCAGACGGTCCTTAAAACGCGTGGTTTAAACCGACGCGTTCAACCCTGACAGGTCAAAGCGCGTCGTTCAAAACGACGCGTTTTAAGGACCGTCAGATCTTGTCTTCAATCCGTGACCGTCAGATAACGAGGACAAAATTGGAGATCTGGCCGTTGATCGCAGCTCGATCCAACGGTCCGCAAAGCGCGTCATTTTAAATGACGCTTTATCCCATTTCTGAAATTAATTACAAAATCACCCCAATTCTCAAAAAAAAAAATCCGAAATATTGTATAAAAAAAATGGCCCAAAGAATTATGGTATGGACATATCACTAGTTTTTATCTATAGGAGGGGTGTATTGCTAATGACCCATAAAAAAATTGACCTGATGCACATATTTGTCATTGAATTATAAATATTTGAATTATACCCTTGTGGTTGATGGGGATAGGGTCCGTTAGTTCTTCTATCAAACTTAATCGCGCACGTAAAATTTCAAGGAGGTCATTTGCAAAATGTAGTATTTTGACGTTTGACAAGTGCAGTTAATTTTGACCTAAAACTAGCGGACGCCACTACCCCTACCAATTACAAGGGAGTTATGTGCTGATATCACCAACACAAAGGAGTCATTTGCAAAAGTTTGTAACCATATGAGACTTAAGTGCTATATACCCAATCTTATATAACAAGCTAGTAACAGCAGGAATTTTTTTATTTTTATTTTTCTTTTTTTTGAAAAAACAAAAGGAATATTTTGTTTGTTATCCTTGTGCAAAGTAAAATAAAAGTGGTTCGGCATCGCAAAGGTCGTCTTCAATTTGTTAAAACTCCATTAATCTTGAAAATTCGTTTGAAGATCGTGGAAGAAATAAAAAAATGAATCAGAAAGTAGAATTTGAAGTAGAAGAAGAAGAAGAAGAGAGGTCGAGAATACCCATAAGTGAGAGGCCCGAATGGGCTGATGTACGGCCCTTACCGCAAGACGACGGCCCGAATCCGGTTGTTCCGATTGCGTACTCCGATGAATTCAGCGAAACCATGGATTTCTTCAGAGCCGTCTACTTAGCCGATGAACGATCCGCACGTGCTCTCGAACTCACCCAAGAAGCCATTTTTCTCAATTCTGGAAATTACACTGTAATATTCTCCTCATTGTTTTTTTTTTTTTTTTAATTTGGGCCTGATTTGGTGATGGCAAATTAAATTAAATTAAATTGATGATAGAAGATTAAAGTAAAAAGTTAAGAGTTGTGTCGATTTGCCAGATTTGAAGAAATGCACCTCCGTTAGGGTTTTGTTGTTTTCTCTGTGTGTGTGTGTGTGTGTGTGTGTACTGAAGAACTATGTGGTTTCATTCTGTTAGGTGTGGCAATTCAGACGTCTAATACTCGAGGCGCTTAGCGTCGATTTGCGTGAGGAATTGGAGTTCATTGATCAGATTGCGAAAAACAACACTAAGAATTATCAAATATGGTACGCGATTGCAATATTAATTTGCCGTTTCATCTTTTATTCGTGTTTGCTGTCGAATTTATCCTCCGATGGATGCTTAAGCAAGAATTGGTTGCAAAACTGAACTTGATTAAAGATGAATTTCGATCTGATTTGTGTATAGTAGCTCGATTATTATCACTCAATAGTTATTAATGGATTATTAATTATATCACTTGATGCAAAATGCATGGTTGTGTTGTGTTCTTTGAAGATAAGAAACGAAGAACTGGCTATACAAGAAGAAGAGAATTACAGTTAAACCTCTATAAATCAATACAGTCGGGACTAGGGAAATTCTATTAATTTAGCGAATTATTAAATTATCGAGTTAATAATTTAACACTTTTTTCACCGAGTCGAGACCGGGAGAATCTATTATTTAATCGAGGTTATTAATTTATCGTGGTTCTACTGTAGTACTTCCAATGAGTTATCTGCTTAGGAACTGAGATTTGAGTAATATTCGAGTTTAAATGAATCTTTTGTAGCACTTTAATTAGGTGCCACTGCTGTGTTTTTGTTCTATGTTTCGATTTTATGCATGCCCATTAAAAGAAGAATACTCCTTTGTGATGTTTGATTCGATAATTAATCACTGGTGTATATTACGGGAATTAATAGTTCCTGAATCTTGTCCTTCCGTCATTGATTTATGTTAGTGAGTGTGTAATGGGCTTTTCTGTAATACCTCAATTCTGAATTCATAAAAAAATTCATCAGTTCAAAACAAGTAGTCTCGTGTTATGCACTTGCGCTTGTACTTCATTGTTGTTTGTCTTCAATTTAAAGACTAGAACGGAACTTATCATGTCAGTTAATAGAAATATCTAGTAAACTCGAATAGCTTAAATGAAGCTCTTAGACATTTTCGAAGAAACTTAGAAGTCAGTAAATGAAGTAATCAATACTTTATTGGGCGAACTTTTGCAGTTCAATCACACGTACATTCCATTTTCATGATTATTTTGCTATTCTATCAGTGAAGAGTCGACTGATTTAAGTTGTTTGCTAGTGTTAAAAAAAGGGATTCCTCCAAAATAGTTCAGAAAAATTTTGTTCCTTGTCACTGAAAAAATGAAGTACTATATTTGCTATATGGATTAAGGAAATATTATAGATCTTTAAAAACAAACACAAAAAAGGTATTTCTTGAATAAATTTGCTGTTTGCTTCGGAAGCTATTTTCCTTATTTTTAGGGAGTGTTTGGGTTCAAAAAAGCAATTTCGTCTTTTTTTCATTCCCTCAAAGTACTAATCACCAATTATAATATTTTCATAAGTGGCAGCTGGAAGAATTAGTATACTCCCACAGACTAACAAAATCAACACTGCCAAGAAATCTTTCTGCCCACTAACTACAGTAAATAACATTGACACGATATATACAATAATTTATGTTTCCAATTAGTGCATCACATTATTGTTGTCGTACAAAAAATCCTGACACGTTTTCATTTCCGTGACATTCTCCAATCTTACGCAAAAACATACACATCCTCAACTTTTTGTCAAAAAACAAATTGGAAACGACACCAAATCTGGATTAAAGGTTTTTTCATCAAATAGAAAGCAAATATCAAGTAGATTTCATATAATTAGCTTGTTGAATCATACGACTCAATAACATGGATTCGTATATTATAGTGAGCAAAAGGTAACAGAGAAAAACAAACTATTTGGTCCCTGCAGTTGTAGTGCTAGATTCTCTCTGTTTTATGTGTAAACGCCTGAAAATTCATTTACATTTCTTGGTTTAAATTCATTTATCATTGAATAATATTAATTTTGTGTACATTGTCACTGTAAGAAGTCTGAGAACAGAACTTGATCTGAGTTCTGATTATAAACCTCCATAGCACGGTTGATGGAGGGGCTGTGTTGTTTTGGCTCTCGTGTAATTAATGATTTGAGTTCAGAAAAGATTTGATGGTGGAACACTTTAGATATGGAAGTATTTAGGTATGCTAAATCAACTAACTCATCTCTAAGCCTTACATTTGGAGAATTGGAAGATAAATTCTCGTTTAAATTCTTTGAAAACCAAATCATGTTAAGTGCTTAGAGATCCAAATTGAAGAGAGTGAAAGAAGGAACACACAGTTGAAATGCTCAACTGAAACTGATTCATTTGAGGTGGAAAGAGAAACGAGTTAGAAGCCGGTTTGTGGCAAGAGAAACTGATTCATTTAAGCTTCCTTTTCCTCCTTTTTCAAGAGGAATGTTCCGGAAAAAAATGCTCTTTGTTGTTGTTTTTTTTTTCCTTTCTTTAAAGGCGAAAAGGAATATTATTTATTGTGTGTTTGAGCTTACCTAAATTTGTATACCCCCTAGAAGCGAAATGAGAAAGGCATTAAGAGCCTTAGTCTTGATTTTACCCACTTCTGCTAGCATTTTGACGATTATAATATATTTTTAGGCATCACAGAAGATGGGTTGCTGAGAAACTTGGGAGTAATGTAGCGAGTAACGAGCTTCAATTCACCGGAGAAATATTTTCTCAGGATGCAAAGAACTACCATGCCTGGTCTCATCGACAATGGGTTCTTCAGACTCTTGGAGGATGGGACGACGAGCTTGCCTACTGTGACGAACTCCTCCAAAATGATATCTTCAATAATTCCGCTTGGAATCAGGTAAATTTCAGTGTCCAGCTCATCATTCATAAGTGGTGAAAATGTTAATGTCTTGATTGTATATTTATTACTAATTTCTGAATGCATAATAGTTAATTATGAGTTAAAAGTATTAGGCTTCGACGCTTCGTCATGTTTTAAAACAAGCTGCTTCAGCCCGAGAGTTGGATAATGAAGATGATTCGGTAGTGGATAAAAATACTTATGTGTTGAAAATATAGACTTCAAGAAATATGTACTAGTGCCTCGTTTGGTTGCTAAGATTGGATTGCGAAATAAGATTAAATAATTTAATGGAAACCCAATAAATAAATAATTTCTCTAAAAGGCAAGATAAAATAATATTTCTGGCTCGATCCGGAAAATTATTGGGTTTACCAAACATCAAACAAATTCCCAATTAGAAATTTGATAGTAGATAAAAATGCCGTTTCTGGTAAAAGTAGACTCCAAGAAATATTTACTCTCTATGTAGAAATGAATCTTGACTGGGTTTTATTGATCTGAATACGAAGATGCAAATAATATATTCGCCTCAATAAATTTTAATTTTTGCAGAGATATTTTGTGGTAACTAAATCTCCCCGACTAGGGGGATTGGAGGTGACGAGGGACTCTGAAGTTGCTTATGCAATTAAAGCCATTTTAACGAAACCCGAGAATGAAAGTCCGTGGAGATATTTGCGCGGACTTTACAAAAACGATGTGAATTCTATAGCTAATGACCCTCGAGTGGCTTCAGTTTGCGTGGATGTTTTGACGAACGAAAAGGAATGCGCTCATGCGTTGAACATGGTTTTGGATCTCCTATGCAATCACTATCAACCGAGCATTGAGTTGAAAAATGCCATCGATGCGTTGTCGGATAACTCCGATTTGGAGTTGGCGAAAAAAGTATGTTCCGTCTTGCAATTGGTTGATCCAATGAGAGCAAATTACTGGGAGTGGCGCAAAACCACTGTTCCTGCTCGAGATTAATGCAGAAGGGGTGTATGTATCATTATTATTCATTATGTATTTCGGTTTTATAGTATGCTGCTACATGTGGTGAATTTCACCGAGTGCCTAAATCTATATACACTGTTACCTAAATTTCAAAGTTATCTAAATCGAGTTTCTTTTGTTACTCGATTCTCGGTTTCGATTGGTGAAATTCACCGGGGCATTATGGAACAAAACAATGTATTTGCCTACTCATTTATGCCAGTTAGAACATCTGTCTTTAAATTTTGGCGTAAGGTAATTAATTAGTTTGCATTTAAATGGCTCTTCGTTCTCTAAGATCTAAGATCTCTTCAAAGTTGTATTCGCTAACATTTGAGAGAGGGTTTTTTCCAAATTACAGTTTTACCCCTGACCTTGAGTAAATTACACGATCCTTCCCTAAGATTAGTTCTATTTAATTACATATGGGCACAACATATTTTAGAATATTACAGAAACATCCCTTTATGTTTAATTGTGGGGCAAATTACGGCAACCCACCTGAGGTAAGGTATAATTACGGAAAAAACTCTATTGTTTACATAATTACAATCACCCCCTCAACTATCTATTGTCTTATACGTCCACCCTTACAATGTCAAATTTACCTAGGGGTATTTTTTCGGTTGGTAAACTGATCGAATCAAAACGAACAAAAATTCGTACATGTCGATTACTGAATCGTTAATTCGGTGTGGTATTAAGGTTTATTTTATTTTATATATATATATATATATATATATATATATATATATATATATATATATATATATATATATATATATATATATATATATATGCAATATTAGTATTAAAATTAACATTAATTAAAAAAAATCAAATAATTTTAATATTTTTAATAAAATTTTGGTTATTTGGTTATTTATCGAACCAAAGGCTAAACGGTATGAAATTTTGGAATACCACAATTTCTGCACAATTTACCAAATGAACGCCAACTAGATGGATTTTTTCGTAATATAATAAATAGTTGAGGGGTTCTTGTAATTATGTATGAGGAGTGTTTTCGTTAATTGACCTTACGTCAAAGGGGTTGTCGTAGTTTGCCTTTCATTTTAACTAAAAAAATGTTTAAACACACTAAATAATATTTTAGTTTACTAAAATTAAAGAAAAAACATAAAACAATTAATAATACTGAAAATAATTTGATGCTTTCTATGTAAATTAATGACTATTCACATTGGAGTTCAAAAAATAATACTTTTACCAAATAAAAGAAGTTTTATAATATTTAATAACTTTATAGAGTAGAATCAGAATTCATCGCTAGCAATTTATAATGTCATAGAAAATAACAATATAAAAAATTTCTAGCTAATTTTTAAGTAACATATAAAAAAAACAAAAGATTATATACACTTCAATTAAACTCGCGTAAGTCCATAGGAGACTAGTTATTTGCAAATTCGTCTACTCCAAAATGTATTTGATCAAAAAGAACATCAACGCCGTGAAAGACTAAAATATCCTTCAAAATAATTTACTCAAATTTTTCTCATCAAACCCTATTTATCTAATTTTGCACATTAACCTCAATTTTAATGAAACATGGATGCCCTCTTTTTCGATTTATGAGTTTGTCATATGTTTATTTGCCATTTACCCTACTTGCAATCAACCACAAACTTTTGAGGAAATTAAATTTATTTGGCAATGTTTGCCAAATTAAGTGGAAGGTCCAAACACTCTATAAATCAACTATCAATGGTATAATTAATATATGTCTAGTTTCAAATCCACTAGCAAAATTCTAATACGTTCAGATAGTATATTATTTTTACTCTTTCTCTCTCTCTTGTACACACGGATGTGGATTTATTTAATTCAATTTAATTATTATATATTTAATTCTCTTTCTTTTTGCAATCCCGTGCATAGTACGGCAATAATTGCTAATATATATTAAAATACATGTATCTAAAATATATATATGAATACATATATATATATATATATTAAAATTTTCAAATAGTTTAAATACATAAAGATTCCAATAGAATTAAAAAAAAAATAAGAAAAAGAGAAAAAAAAAAGGGCATATGAATTTGACCCAAAATCGAGCCCGAGACCCAATAGAATGAATTGGCCCAATCCAAAAACTTTTTTTTTTGTATTTTTGTTTTATTTTTATTTTTATTTTGTAAATAAATCGAATCCTTGCCAAACTAGGGTTTGGTCTGACCCCAGTATTAATACACATCTCTTACTCCAATATCCGCCTCTTTGAAATTCGTCACCTCTCCTCATTCCAACCAAAGGTAATTTTCAATTCCTTATTTTCTGATTAATCAGCTTTTTATTTTTTCTTATTTGTTTAGATCTAAATTAAAGCTCCTACTTTTTCTTGTGCGTAGTGATTCGGCAACACTCCAAATTCAGCCATCATGTTGGTTTATCAAGATCTGCTCACAGGTAAATTCAATTTTAATTTTTATTTTTTTTAATTAGGTCTTGTTTGAATTAGTGTTAATTTTGTTGTTGTATTTTAGATCCCTTTACTTCTTGAGGTTAATTATGATTATTCTTTTATCTGTCGATATGGGATCTTCTGTTTGCTGATTAATTCGTATTATTTGGTAATTTAAGAATATTTATTTTTCGGTAGGGGATTAAGGATTGTTGTTCTTTTTTTTGGATCTTAATTATAATTATATATATTTATTTCTCTACCCTCTTAATCGGTGATTAGTTGGTGATTAGGACTGATTACTCTATGATTGATATGAACACAATCCTTTTTTCTTGTTTTTTTGTTGTATGCTGTAAATTTTGTATCCAACCGAACTTTTAATTGTGTTCTTAAATCCAATAAATATATTGTAGGTGACGAACTTCTATCCGACTCGTTCCCATACAAGGAGATCGAGAACGGAGGTCTTTGGGAAGTCGATGGCAAAGTTAGTTAATGTTTCTTTCTTGCTAATTTTTTAATCCAACATTTATTATATTTGTACATTGTGAATAAATTTTGACATGGTAATTTTTAACGTGGGAGTAACAGTGGGTAGTTACCGGTTCCGTCGATGTGGATATTGGCGCGAATCCTTCTGCCGAAGGTGGGGGTGAAGATGAAGGTGTTGACGATCAGGCTGTCAAAGTTGTCGACATCGTCGACACATTTAGGCTCCAGGTTCGTTTTTTTTTTAATTTATTATTATTACACTTGAGTTCTAATTATTTGGAATTTGTTTGCTAATAGTGTTTATTTATTATTTATAGGAGCAACCTCCTTTTGATAAGAAGCAATTTGTTGCGTACATCAAGAAGTACATCAAATTGCTGTCGGCTAAATTGGAAGGCGAGCAGCTTGAACAATTCAAGAAGACCATTGAAGGAGCAACCAAGTACTTGCTCGCCAAGATCAAGGACCTCCAGTTGTAAGATACAAACATCCCAATTCTTTCTTCAATGTTTTCTTGCACGTGTATTTACTATTTTATCCCAATTATTTATTTTGACGAGGAATATTTTCTTTTTTGGTTAGTTTTGTGGGAGAGAGCATGCATGATGATAGCACCTTGGTTTTTGCTTACTACAAGGAAGGTGCGACCGATCCTACATTCTTGTACTTCCCCCATGGCTTGAAGGAAATCAAGTGTTGAGTTGCTCGATGCTCGTTGCTCGAAAGGAAACTCCAACCTATCTTTTTATTGCTCTTTTCTTTTTTTCCTTTTAATTTTGGGTCTTTAAATTAAATTATTTAGTAATTAATAGCAGTGTTGTCTGAATTGGTCCGTTGTTGGAATTATTTTTGGGAACTATGATTGTACTATTGAGTTTTTTTTCCTTTTTTTTTTTAATTTCCGGTAGTGAAAAGATATTGGTAGTGGGCATCATGGTGTGTTAGATGCCCCATCTTTTTAATATTGAAAGATTCTTGTTTTTAATTGTTTTTGGCATAAAGTTTACAGCGTTACAAAGAATGCTTGTCTACTTATATTCCCTGACAAGCACATGACTACGTCGATCTAGTGCTTTTGTCAAAGCAGTAGCTCTAATTCCAGCTGTTATATTTGAAAAATCTGGAGTTTTATGGAGTTTTATCCAATGTTTTCAAAACCGGACCGGACAATGAACCGGACAAGTAACTGGGTCATGGTTGGACCGGTCCAACCGAGGTCCGACCGGGTTTTTGTATTTTTTATTTTTAATTATTTATATATAATTTTTATAATAACTATTATGCAAAAATATAGAAAAAATTAACTATCTTTCACATATATTCAAACAGTGACTTGATAATTCTATTTCATTTACCATATATGCCTTTATAAATAATAATTGTTTTATATATTAATAAAAGTTAAGTAAATAAATAACAAATAAAATAAAAAAATACAATAACACTTCTATCCAGTTCCTAAAATATACCCTAAAGACCTAATATTGGTTTGTGACTACCTCACTATCAATTACCGCCGCCAGCCACGTTCTTCTACCTGTACAATTTTTTTTCTTTTCTTTTTTCTCTTTCTTTCTTTCTCAAATGCTCCCCCCACCACGATATCTAATAACCCGAATTAATCATCTACGGGAGCTCCTTCAACAATACAAACATCGAAGAGAGGTATAAAGATTTTCAATTTCTTCTCAATTTTTTTTTCTTTTTTTTTGCACAGACCGGTTTTTAGGACCGGTTTTCACCGGTTTTCTTCGGTTCAACCGGGATTTCCACGGTTCTCGGACCATTGACCCGGGTTTTATGACTTTTCGGGTATTTAAGTTCAACCGGACCGGAATACCTGCCGGTTCGCGGTTGAACCGGTCGAACCGGCCGGTCCGGTCCGGTTTTCAAAACATTGGTTTTATCAATTGCAAAATGTAAAATTTTGTACAAATAAGTGGTTAACTTGGAAGAGTGTCAATTTTAATTTTATGGATACTTGTTTTTATATTAGTGAAGAATAGTCCATTGTTCATTTGTTTTACATGAATAATTGTTTTCATATTGGGGCATTAGGATATAGGTCCCCACAAAACTTATTAGAACTAAATGACAAGCTCAACTAAATATTTGCTTCACATCCTTTATAAAATTCATTTCAAAAATGCCCCTCCATTCACAAATTCGAAATATGGATTAAGTAAATTTCAAACTGCATTTATCATTTTATTTATTATGCATTTAATATTTTATATCTTCATTTAACAATTTTTAATCTTTTTTTACAAAATATCTATTTATCTTCCCTTTTTTTTTTTCATTATTCATTTTAGCATTTTATACACTACTATAATTTTTTTTTATTCTACATGATATTGAAAAAAAAAAAAAAAAAAAAGAAACTGTTATTTTATTTTGTTTTTTTCAATTTACATATTTTCAATTTGTAGTAGACTATGGTCTACTGCGGTGTACTATGGCATACTGCGGTGTACTTATACTACGGTGTACTATAGTGTACTACGGTGTACTATGCTTTACTACTAACACTAGGCCAAAATGAACGACTGGCGACGAAATTTGGCGACGATAAGATATTTGGCGACGATTTTTTGAGACTTGCGACGACAATTTTTCGTCGCCAAATCGGACAAAAAACGTCGCCAAACGCCCCGTCGCAAAGCCTGCGACGAAAAATCATTTGCGATGCGAGGTTTGGCGACTAATCTGGGAAATCGTCGCCAAATTCGTATTTTCCGAAAAAATGATTTTTTTAATCCTCGCGACGGATCCCATACTTTCGTCGCGTAATGTTTGCGACAAATTGTTATTCCGTCGCCAAATTTAGCGACGTTTGTTCTGATTTCGTCGCTAAGTATGAAAATATGTTTGCGACTAATAATCGTTTTCGTCGCAAGGCACACAACTTATTTGCGACGATGTGTTTATTTGATTCGTCGCAAGCTAGTCATTTCTTTTGTTTGCGACTATTGTATATTTTAGTCGCAAAGTTTTTTTTTTTTTTTTAAATTAAATTATGGTTCATATATATTTTCAATTGACGAATTCAACCTGTATTCAGTTGTACAAAAAAATAAACACTTATATCAAAAATATTAAAACCAAATTTACGGATTAAATATCAAAATGTAGTACACAAACATAAATTCAAAAAGTACATAAAAACTTAAAAGCATATAATGTAGTGTTTCAAACTTTAATTCAAAAAGCAAACAAACTTCATCCCTTTTTATACTCCACCATCATTAGAAAGAGTCGATGTCGAGGCTTCTGGTCCAAAACGCCCGGCCAAGGTGTTCACAATTTCTCGGGTTTCACTCTATAGTCTTAGTTCTGTAGTTGGAATACCGGCCCCTCCGTATTCCCGTGTCTACTCGACCGATAGCAATGTTAAGATTCTGACTTTCCTATACCTGACCGTGCAATAACATAAATGAGAAATCATTCGACTCAAATAATATAACCATGTTAGATCGAACTTGCAAAACACATAACCACATAACTAACAAACCTATACAAAGCATTTTCTTCCTTACAGTTTCTTCAAAAAACTCACATAATCAAATAAACACATGAATAAACATTTACGTATCACATACAAGAGAGGGGATTATCATATTATTTCATATAACCACTTTCACAGTTATAACATACCAATGTAATTATCTTAAATGCATCGTTCATACGTTTTCTAGGTTATACATTTATGTTACCGTATAAGCATACGATAACTATAATAACACATACACACATAATACATGAAATTCAAATCCACATACTCCATTCCAAAGAACTATAAAGAAATCGTATCAACTTTGCAATATAATCACATTAAGATTCCAATTTACAATTAAACCTTAATGATGAACTTCAAATTACTTAAGCGAACCTATACCCTTATCAGTCCTAAATCAATCGAGAGGTATCCTTAAATAGAACTATGTCCTCTAAATAACGTCCCAACAACTCTTTTCAGTCACAGTACTATATTTAAGAAAATCTGGCAGCTTTTGTACTTCAACTTTGAAAATTTGTATCTCTTAACCGTACATACAAACCTTATGAAATTTTCACACAATGTTCACATATATGTTAATTATACCATATTAAAACAGTTCAGTAAAATACCTATCCATGGAAGAGAAATAATTAATTTAGTACAGTAACACCAACAGAATTTTAGAACAGAGCATTCAACTTTAAAATTCCAAAAAAATCATTCTTTCAACAAAGACCATGAAATTTCGCTAAAAATCAGATTCTATTAGATATAACCCCCTTAGACATTCAAATAATAGGGGTAGACCCAAATTTAAATTTGCCATTTTGATAAAAACCCAAACTTTTCTAAATTACATAAGTACCCTCAATCAAATCCCACAAATCACGTTACTTTACCTTTTGAAATAATATCAAATCCCACCCTATTTTCCCGTTAAAACACTATCCCCACAAACCCACTACCAAAAAATCTGCAAACCTCTCAAAACCAGAAATTTATACAGATCTCGCGGACGGTGCCGGGGCAATTAGATGAGGAAAGTACTTGCTCCTCGCCGGAGTCCGACGGAGACACCGTCCGCTGTGGTGCAGCGTCGTAGCAATTTTCCGGCGCTGGATTTCGCACAACGGCCTTTTCTCGTCTTTTCGAAAGCATTCATTGGAGAACTCCCACCGATCAGGCATAACCTTCCCAAATCCCTAAAAAATCATCAGATAAGCAACTCAATCAATAATCGAAAAAAAAAACCAAAACTCCTCGTTACGGATCGAAGGATTCGATTAGCAAAAGCTCACGTAAGTATTCAGTTGCCGAACGAAACTGGAGAAATTATTGTGCTTGAAATACTTGGGCAGCAAATCTCTGGCAAACTCACGTAATTTGGCCCAACGAAACCGACAATATACTAATAAACTATCCCACTGATATAATTTGACTATGGATCTCGTTAATCGACTATGGGCCGCCGTCACTGCTCCAATCTAGGGTTACTCAAATCTAGGATTACTCAAATCTAGGGTTTTGATAATTTTTCGGCCCATAGTTGATTAACGAGATGCATAGTCGAATTACATCTGTGTTAATATACTATCCCATATCATTTAATAGACTATCCCACTGGTATAATTTTACTATGGATCTCGTTAATCGACTATGGGCCGAAAAATCATCAAAACCCTAGAATAATAATAATAATAATAATATATATGGAAACTGAATAATATGTTTGTTTGAAATACTAATCAATTAGGGTAATTTTCCTTATATCATGTAATAGACTATCTCATTGATCTAATTCGACTATGGATCTCGTTAATCGACTATGGATCCCGTATTATTCAACCACATAGTATATTAATAATTTCAATATAGTACATTAATCTGCTATGATAGTATATTACGGTTATAGTAGTGATATGAAATTGTGTTACAAACAATACACCACTGAAATGACAAGAACATTGAGAACAAAACCAACGTAAAGTATTCCAACATAACCAATAAAATAGTACATTAATAATCTCATAATTTCAATCTAGGGTTTTGATAAAATACTTAAAACACATCATAACACAATCAAACCAATATGTCGAGTTAAAAAACTCTAGTACATTAATAATCTCATAATAGTATAATAAAATGATAATGGTAGTATCATATGGTATTCATAATAGTATACTACTGTATTACAACGGTTTAGCACTTAACCGACGTTACCGAGCCATTACATCGTAAACACCTCTTTATAGCAACCAACCCACCAAACATCGAAATCATGTCCTCATCGTCAGCCAAGATACATTCAGTAACGCCTTCCAGCCTATATGTCATGCTTATATCCCACCCATCGAGTTGTGGCCACTTTGAAATAACAAATGCAACCAATGAACCGCGAGTAAACCCGTTCGAACACCTCTTTATAGCAACCAACCCACCAAATCTCAACAAAATCCGTACAAAATTCGCCATCGATAAAACCT